ATATAAAAGTTGTAATTTTTCAAATAGAATGCCTTGAATTTTATTGCATATTTGGCTAAACCAATTCAAAAGTTCAAAATTGATATAACATACTATGGGGTTTTGGTAATTAGCTATCGAGATATAAGGTGTTTTGTCTAGAAAAACCCCCCACTTCAGCAACCCCTCATTCCGCCATTTTGATGTTTGGAGTCCTGAATTCTGTATCAAACGGACTTACGCACCTCAGCTTTTATCTTATTTGTTACTTTTTCGAATTTTAATTTTGCTCATACAGGGTGGTCAAAAACGCAAATTGTAGTTTTTCTCAAAAATTTCAAATGCGTCACCCTGTATATTTGTGCAAGTTTGGATTCAATTTTTTATAAGCTTTTTTTGATACTAGACACATAAGGGTTTTTACGGCTATTTTTTCGGTTACTAGCACGTCTTTTATGGAACAGATAGACAGATAGATAGATAAATACATCTATTGTCTTGTGGATCATAAAAAATCACATAAGACTCATCCTAAGAGGGAGGTACATAGTACACATAATTAAAAATAAAAACGAAACAAACATAAGTATTTACAAAGTACAAACAGGGACAACTTAAGGCGTACAGACATTCACACATAAAAAAAGTTTAAAAGAATATATCACAGGGCGAGGTATTCAGACAAAGAGTAGAAACATTTTTCAACTAATAATTTTCGTAGTTTACATTCAACACTAGCAATACTACTGACATTCCTGAGGTTAGCTGAAAGTTTGTTATATATTCGATATAGCGCCAGTGTGTGTTTTGGAATACTCAGACTCTCACCTGCCCTTGTATTATAATGTGTGGGGATGATTTTGTTCTGTATAAATTTTGTTTTGTTTGTATGTGTGAAAAGGGTGCACTTATAAATATGAATGCTTGCTGGAGTAATGATGTTTTTACTTCTGAAGATCTCTCTGCAGGATTCTCTTCTACGAATGTTGAATATCAATCTGATTATTCTCTTCTGTTGAACAAATGCTCTAGAAATTGAAGGCGCTTGCCCCCAAATTATGATGTTTCTTGATAAATCTGGGTGGACGAGAGCATAATATACATCTAATAAAGCTGACTCTGATAAGCAAAACAAAAATAATATGATTGGTTCAACTTTTTACACACACTGTCCATGTGTTGTTGCCAACTGAGCTTTGCATCCATTTTTATTCCCAAGAATGTCGAAGTTTTAGATGTCTCATGATTTGCTAGAATAGGGGCGTTTGTATAAAAATGTTCAACATTTGTTTTTTCGAGGTTTAAAATCAAATGATTTGCTTGGCACCACCCTTTCATTTCACCTTTTACTTCATTTATTTTTGCAATAATATCCTTGCGTGTAGTTCCACTTACAAGAACTGACGCATCATCTGAATAATTTGTTACAAATCCAGAGAGATGCAAATCACTTATATATAGAATGAATACAAGGGGTGCTAAAACTGAGCCTTGCGCTGCTCCAATGTCGATACTGTACGTTGCGGATGTAATTCCGTTAACTTTTGTTTTGAATTTTCTGTCGGACAGGAAAGACACTACCTAATCTAATATAAAACCTCTTAAAACTAAAGAAAATAATTTTTCTTCGAGAAGTCCAATGTCAATTGTATCGAAAGCTTTCGATAGGTCAAAAAAGATGCCCGCGATAGATGTATTCATATCGAGCTGTTTATATATCTGACATACAAACGCATAAGTAGCTGTCTCTATTGAATTAAGTTTCCTAAATCCATGCTGCGAGCTTGGGATAAGGTTGAATTTTTCAGCATATCCCAAAATTCTTGATTAAATCGCTCTTTCGATTATTTTAGAAAAGATTGACAATAATGATATGGGGCGGTAATTATCAACTTGAGTAGTATCTCTCTTTTTTGAACTATTATCGCAAGCTTCAGGGATTTAGGAAATTTGCCTTGATAGACAAACATGTTAATTAAAGTAGTGAGAGGACCTACAATTTCATTCAAAAAAGTTTTAATAACACGAGTAGTTACACCGTCACTACCACACGATTGTTTGTTTGGAAGGTTGGATATGATTAATTTCACTTCTTCATCGGTGACCTCAGTGTAGAACATTGAATGCGCTACTTGAGTTTTAGCTTCTGCAGCTGGTAGTGGGGAGACTCCTTTGAAGTGTTGTTGGAGCTTATTTAATACTGTGCTTGGAACATGTTTCCCAAAAGCGTCAGGCACACTAATCTGTCCCATATCTCCACCGTTGTCATTTATAAGTGAAATTACTCCAGAGTTCTTTTTACGTCCAAGCTTCTGGTTTACTATTTCCCAGATCTTTTTAGTCTTATTATCAGCAGTTTTAATTTCGTTGCAGTTATTTTGCTGCTTGGCCATTGAGATCAGTTTGCGATGTTGCTTTTTTCTTTCAATATACGTTTGCTTCAGATTTATATCTTGCTCGTTCTCTCTTGTAAGTTTGTACAAATTTCGTAGATTGTTGCTCGACTGTTTTAACTGCGGTGTTATCCATGATTTGGGTTTTGTTAAAGGTCTGCACGTAATAACGTCCTATCGAAATGCCACAGAAAGGTGTTGAGGAATTTTTCGAAAGCATCATCTATATCGGTCTCTTCAATATTTCAAGATTCTTGAGAGAGACTTAATCGCAGTTCTTCGAGATTACAATCATCAGTTTTCCTCACAGTATATGATTGGACGGGAGACTTGTTGTTGGAGGCGAGAAGGGAAGATAGCGTTAAGATTTGCGCCGCATGGTCGGATATTTGAGGATCTTCTATGGCACATTTCAGATTTTCTGAGTTGATGTTCGTGGTCATGTAATCGATTGAAGTTTTGGACAGGCCAGTGGTTTTATTTGATGCTATGCGGGTTGGTCTGTAACAGTAGTTTGTTAGACCGAAGCACTGTAGGATGTCATTGAGTAGTAGACTATTTATTGAAGGTTTACTGTAATCAATATTAATATCTCTACAAAGAACTATGTTATTATTTGTGGTAGCTATTCGATTTAAGAATGAAGTCAAGTTCTCCTGGAAAATTGTTATGTCTCCTGAGGGAGGCCGATAGACACATATCACTACGAGTTTTTCATTATAAGGTCCAAAACTAACCTGCATACCGCACCATTCGATGTGCTTTTCTTGTGAATACTCATCTGGGAATAAGATATCTTTAGCCTCAGCACCGTGATGAACAAATATGGCACATCCACCATGTTTATATCGATTTCTGCAGAAGCTGCTTACAAGTTTGTAGTTCTGAATGTTAGCGACAGCTGCAGCAATCGTTGTTAGCCATGTTTCGGTGACACAAAGAATATCTGGTGATGCTTCGTCTACATACAGTTCTAGGGCATCATATTTTTTCTGGATGCTGCGAACATTTAGATGCACTATTTTTACGTTATGACTCCTTGGCGGATTCCTGATAGAAAATTTGACTGCTGTTCATTAAAAAGTGGCTCTTTTTGTAGCGATGTGGAAGGTAAGCTATAATCCTTAGAGGATTTCCTCGGTGTTTAGATTTCCAATCAACTGGGAATGATTTGGGTGCACTTATATTTTGATGATCGATGGTGCGTATCTTCCTACAGTCCCTATATCCCTAAGTGTTCTTGTTCCGTTCTGTATTTCACTTTCTATGGAAGTTGGCCTCTTTGTGCTTACCAACAGTTTTATGTTATTGCAAATGATGCGTTTACCCTTATTATTCAGTACATTGGGCCTCTCCCTGTAGTAGTGATGTAGATTTGGGTTTAGATTAAGAAGTTGAACTCCGTTTTGTTCACAAATTCGGTGCAGCTGGTCATTTATATCTCTTATAATGTTATTTAAAATGGGCCTATGACATCTCCATTGCAGTACTGCAGCTAGCTATTATTACGTTGGTAGCTTTCAGCACTTTTAAGGTTTCTCTGAGAGGTTCACATTGAATGAAACCTTTTGTCAGCGCTTCATTAGAACCGTCCATGATGAGTACATAGTCGGACTTCGTGAAATCAGTTGTTAGTTTTCGTGCATCTTTGATAATATTGTTCAGTTGGGAATTGGGATGTAACATCGATGTAATTGCAAACTGATCCAAAGGAAGAACTCTTCGAAGTATAAGTATTTATCATATTCCGCCCTTGCTCATCTGCCAGGATTAATAGCTTACACCTCTTGTCTTCTGTAGTATTTGCTTCTGTAGTATTTGCTTTGATACAGTTTCGGGGATTTTTATCCCTTTTAGGTTGGTTTTGTATCGGTGTGAGTTGTGTCTGAGTTTGTGTGCTATTTGATGTGACTGCTTGAGTCTGTACATGGATACTGTTTTTACTACTTGGGTCCGTCTGCACATACCGATCAGTAACGACTGTCTTACATTTTACATTATTTATAATCCTTTCAAGTTGTTCTATAGTATTATCTTTGTACTTCATCTTCTGTGTTAGTTTCTCTATCTTGCAGTTTAATGACATTATAGCGCTACTCAGCTCTTCGTTCCTCGCCAGCTCGGTAGCTAATTTATTTCTGACATCTAATAGTAAATTTTCGTGAGTGTTTGTGTTTTCTTCAACTTGACTGTCGATTTGAAGGTGAATATAGCTATTGGGTGGAATGCATAAAACGTTGTAGAAGCTAATGCTTCAAGTATGTACTACATTTTTGAAGTTTTAACTACACTAACAAAGCATTTACTTTCCTCCATAGCATATGCTACTATGTACGAGATACATAGAAGAATATACTACGCTTTAGAAGTATTTGGTGGTTTAGTAGTATTTGCTCCAGTTTAAGTGAAGTGTATGAGCAACTTCGGCTACCGCAAATTCAGTATTTTTTTTTGGAAAATGGCAGTATTCATGAATGTGCGTCTAGAAAAGTTTACAAACAAGCGAGGATATACAACGATGATATTTATCGTAAATTATTTAGGTAATTATCATAAATCGTGCAGTTTTATGGTTATGTAATTATTATTAATATAAAATCAAGTTACTTTCATAATTTTTTGTTTAAGGTTTAACAGAGAAAATGTAGAGTGGTTTGCGAACCATTTTCTTGACGATAATGAGGATCCCGTAGAAACAAGAGGTGGAGCCTTGTCACCTACTCGGAAAATGGAGATATTTTTGAGAAGTTTAGGTTAATATAGGAAAGTAATTCTAAAATTTAAAAAATATAAATATAAATTTTTCAGGAGATCCTGGATTTCAGCAAGGAGTTGCTGTTGATTTAGATGTAAACCAAAGAACTGTATCCAGAACCTTGATTAGTGAACCTGAAGCAATTTATTGCAAGAGAAATAACTGGATAACATTTCCTAATACTAACGATTTACTTGGAGTTGCTATCAATGAGTGGGCAAATACCAAGCGAATGCATCGAATTATGTATAATAATGTGCAAGGAGCAGCCTTGTTAGGTGATGAAGGATATGGTATTTCACCGTGGTTGTTGACACCATTTAAAAATCCAACCACACCTATTCAAGAAAATTATAAGTTAATCCATGCGAAGGAACGTTGTGTCATAGAACGCTGCTTTGGTCAGTTGAAACGGCGTTTTCCAATGCTCCATGATTTTGATCCAGTTCAGATGGAAGTTCAAGATGCGATTGAACTGATACCTGAGGGTAATCAACCACAAATTCGAAATCGAAGGCAGATGAAAAACGAGTTCTAACACGATTGATGTGATTTACACTAGCACACAGCCTCTTAGGCGCTTAGTAGTAGATACTTCAGGTTAGTAGTAGGTACTTCTGTTGTGCCATACAGTATAGTATATTCTTCTCAGATAAAGCACATACTTCTATGTAAAAGAGGATGCTACAAAGTAGATCCTTTTTAGTGAAGCAATAGCATCTACTACGTTTTATGCATTCCACCCATTGTTGTGCGATTTTCTAATCTTCTCAGTTACTGTTTTCTTCAATTTTGCCTGCTGTCGTGTATTCATTTTTCTTTCACTGGAATTGTCACGATTTTTCCGAATACTTGGCAACGTGCTTCGTTGCCTGTCGTATGTTTTGAGGTTTTTAACCACTTTGGAATCCTTAATATCGTAATCTCCTTACCAGTTTTTTCATCCGGATGTGGTGTTCTACACTAGCAACACATGACACATGATTCACAAGCATAGGTACCATCCATATCACCTATGCTTGCATCAAGACCTTCGTCCTCAAGATTTCGCAGCTCGAATGGAGTTTAGTAGAATGATGCTAAATAAAGTGAGTGAAGAGACTACTTTCCTGGATAAGGTTATTTTTAGCGATGAGGCACTTTTTAACAGCATAGGTGTTGTCAACAGGCATACCTAACATGCACTATTATGCGACGGAAAACCTTTACTGGGCTAGGCAAATAGATTTCCAAAAAAATGGAGCTTGAATATTTGGGCAGGAGTTATTGGCAGACAAGCTATCGCGCATTTCTTTTTCGACAACAGATTAACAGGTACAGAATACTTGAATTTTTTGATCCAGCATTTGCCTTTGCTTTTGGAGGATGTCAACCTGCAAACTCGGATGCATATGTACTTCCGACATGACGGCGCACCTTCGCATTATCATAATCGTGTGCGTAACTATTTGGACACCTGGAGCAACAATCGTTGGATCGGTCGTGATGGGCCTATATCTTGGCCTCCTAGATAACCAGATATGACACCGATGGACTTCTTTATATGTGGCTACGTTAAGCAAGAGGTTTATAGATATCCACCATCTACCCCGGAAAATATGAAGGAGATGATTAAGGATGCTGTTCTTTGTAGATTAGGTCTTGATTAGTGATAGTTGTTTGTTTATGTTGTTGTATTAGTTGTTTTTTTCTATTACGCTTGAAGCTGATTTATACTGTTCTTTATTAGTTTTTACGTCTTAGTGGAAATATGGAACTAGCCCACTGTTTCTCTTTTGTTTCCATGGATGATGTGATTTTTTCCTTAATCGTGCTGTGTTGTTCTATTAAAAGCTTAATAACTCAAAATCTAGTGATCTTATCAGAATCAAACCTTATACCAAAAAAAAGCTTATAAAAAATTGAATCTAAACTTATACAAATATACAGGATGATGCGTTTGAAACTTTTGAGAAAAAGTACAATTCGCGTTTTTGACCACCCTGTATGAGCAAACACGAAAATTCGAAAAAGTAATAAGTAGGATAAACGCTGAGGTGTGTAACTTTTTTTTGATACAAAATTCAGCGCTCCAAATAATGGCGGATTGAGGGGTTGCCGAATTGGACGGTTTTTCTCGACAAAACACCTTACATCTCAGTAGCTAATTACCAAAAAATATGTTATATCAATCTTCTTCTTTTGTATTGGTTTATACAAATATGCAATAAAATTTAAGGCATTCCATTTAAAAAATCTCAACTTTGATATGTAGGTCAAAATTGGGTCATAACATAACATAACATGCCATAAGTAGATTTCCCCAAAATGAATTTGTTTATGAGTCCCGTCCACGCATGGATGGGCCAGCCTACATTTAAATGTAATGTGATATTTTAATTCGATTTTTCAATACACGTTTTAAATAGACAAAAAACTAACGAAACGTTCAATGAGCTTAAAATAATGATGCATGCGTTATAAACTAGCGTGCTTCCACTAGAATTTATACCTGTTACATTATAGCACCATGCACTTTCACCATTACGTAAAATTAATTATTCTGCCTAATACATTTTATTATGAAAAAAGCTAAATGCGAATACCTAGATTAGAGATTACCAGGGTAAAGCTACAGAGCTTCCAATTTTCGAGGATCCATGGTTTTCCCTATTTATTGAAGTTTCCTTCTGATATCGAGGGTTTAGAATCAAAAGACTATCATCTATGCAATTTTTATGAAACTGGGACACCACTTACTAGTCATCATAATCCATTTGGTGTAAGACGTTTGTTTTTCTTATGGTATCCAAGAACTGTATCTCAAATGTATTACCTGAATCAAGGATTAGGGTTGTAATACAAATTTTTGAGGAAATGGAGGATGCTAAATGTAAAGGTAATGACTAATGACACTAAGGCATCCACATATGATGAAAACGCATTATGAAGCATGAAAGAGTCTTGTTCGATTCATTAGCTATAATTTCCGAGATGTTGAACACATTACACATTATCCTGAAAGTTGGGACTTTCCTTTTCAGAAAAATACATGATTGAAACAATAAAGCTAGTAATGTACGGTGAAATAGTAGCGAAAAAGTAAACAATAGAAACGAAAAAGCAAGTGCGAAGTTGTCGCCGTTGGTAAAATGTTTTGTAGAAAGTCTAGGTACTATAAACTGTCAAGCCGATTCTTGAAAATAAAAGGTTCAATGAACCATTTACCATGCCAGCCCAAATATTCAAAGAAAATGTTTGTCAAACATGTGAACGACGGGCTACTTTTGAGGATTTTCCAATGACCACATATGAGAATTTCGATAGTTATGCACCCCGTTTCGCGTGAAGGTTGATCCACCCGTCACCAATATGGACAACATCAATTACTGACAAAAATGCACTCTTCCAGGAAAATCCTTAGCTTGGAGGGCTCGTACGAAAGGGTACAATCCATCATCAGGCAGCGTATACCACACTTTAGTATTGGAGACTTGCACTTGTCTAGCCACTTCCCCAATGCTTGGAGGATTTTTTTCTACACGATTCCATACTCCTTTCTCAATATGCATCATTTGAAGGTGTCTAGGTGTCTGCCCACCTCGACATTTATGCAAAGCGACTTCTATCCCTAACTCTTTGCACAAGGTAAGCAAGGCGACCCTGAACAATAACTTCTGGGAAAGCGAACTGCAAACACTCGCGAAGCCTTGGTAGCATTTTGAAGACGCTCATTATAAGTTAAAATTATATCGACAAGTTCGATATTTCTGTACGAGTGCGCCATCTCTGTTTTTTGGGATCGGGATATAGGAGCGGAAGGTTTGGCTTATAGTCCAGGACTATTAGACTTTCTCTGCTGAAAAAATCCCACCGGGCTGAATTTTTACCAGAAATTCTTTTCAGCATTATAAATCATCCCTCAAAAGTCCCCATAAATCCAAGTGGAGGTTTTTTTATGGGGCGGTCAAAGGTCACAAAAAACACTTTTTTCCATATATCTTCGGAAATATCAATTCTACGATAAAATGAACCATCACCTTTTTTGTTCAGTATGAAATTATCCACAAAAAAGGTTTCACGCGTTTTTTTTTGAGAAAATTCTAAAATAACGTACTTTTTTTCACGTCACCATAGAGGTAAAGTACCAGACGCGTTGTTGATCATGTGGTCTCTCCAATATTCCTAATCTCTACGAAGACAGAATGATGTTATTGTTACTTTTTTCCTTAGTCATCACTGTGACAAGATGCGGCAATGCGGCATCATCTAAGTCTTCGCCAGCCTCAAGTGTTGAGCATAGGAAATTCATGGGGTTTATATTCCCATCGAATTCCACATTATTTGACTCTTGATTGCCCGAGATCATATTCAGACATGACTGTCCATGACAGTAGGCGCAAATGGCGGATCAGTGTAGTTTCCTACATCCGCAATTAGCTCCACAACCTGTCGTACAATTACAAAAGATTGTGTTTAATAAGACATCAGGAGAGGGTGGCAATAGAGTTTGTATTGGCTGTAAATATTGGTCGGTCATAGTCCATTCCCAATCCAATGGATTCAAATTCTTTCCAAGCCATTTCTGGACCTGATAATACAAACGACATAAATGTGCTTGAGTACTCGACGTTGTCGAACATTTGATTTGCTATTCGTGAGTGTCGATTGTTTATCTTCACGAATAATTGGTGCAGCGGCCTCTAAAATTCTAAAACGTTCCTCTTTCCCATCAAATTTACGATTGTCATTTGTTCAAGATATGACGAACATCGGAGAAACAAATAATCGTTGAACTTCGGCTCTTTGTTGTAATGTCGACTTTTTGACCGTACTTTTCAACAATTTTTGTTTTTACAGTAACATCATCAGGTACAAAATCAGTACATACCTTTTAAGTTCCGATAAAGTGAACTATCAGTCATCATTATTTTCAATGTAATTATATATTTTCTCCATTGCCAAAGAGATGTTGATATCTTGAGGTCTCCCATGCTTTTGGGCAGTTAAAGGTCGTCAAAAGAGACGTAGCAATAACCATGATATTTTGTATTTACTGCTACTAAATCCTCTTCATAAATAATGCGATTTTCAACTACTCTACTAAGAGAATCATTACGCTTTTGAGCTATAGCAAGCACAGTCGATTTAAACCTTGATTTTTCGACGACGAAATGTGGAAACTTATTTCTCATATTCTTCGCAACATGCCATTCCACAAAATAAACATTTTTTGACAAATTCAAATTGCTCGCTCTCGGTAGAACGCATTCTTCATCGAGGAGTGCTAGCGACGAGGTGCTGGATTCAGCATCTCGCTCCCTTTTAGCAGCAGTAATGCTACTTGCACGAGTGTATTCTCTGCGACACAACACGTGCACTCTGAACGATTCAACACTCCGCAAAAATGTAATTTTTCCATCATTTCGCTCGATACTGACGTCACGTAAGGTTTTAATACCGCTTATTTTTTCAAGATCTATACGCCATGCAAAGGAAAGTCCCAACTTCGCGGACACAGTGTATATCTCGACGCTATTCAGTGATCAACTTCTTCAG